CTTTTAGAGTAGCATAAAAATATAGGAAAGTGCAAAAGTAAAAAGTCCTGGCTGCTTTCTGCTCAAAATTGAGCAGTAATGGTGTCCTGAAATAGAGATGATGCTGACATGTTTCCCCGCTCCTCAGAAGGAAGTTAGGATGCAGGGGAGCAAGGCAGGACAGAGCCAAGGCCAGGCCCTGGGGGCGGGGGAGGGGTACTAGTGGGAATGCTTGGCTGCCTGGGGCTGGGGGCAGGGAGGGAAGTAGGTGGCGGGCTGTGCGCCACGTGGGCTGAAATGGTGGCCCACGGTCGGTGGACAGAAATCAGGGGCACCCATGCTTCCCCTTTAGACAGCTGTTGAATGCTGGGTTGGATTCCAATCCTGGTACTCGGGGTCGGGCGCAGCTTGTGAGGGACAGGTAGAGATGGCGGTGGCAACAGGCAGAGCAGGACTGTGTCCAGGGCCGGAGCAGACACCAGCTCCGGTTACACACACATTACATTGTGGGTGTTGGGGGAGGGGGCTGTAATCGCTTAGGCCTTCCTCCCAGAGACAAGGGAGGCCACTGGGCTTCCTCACCCACCATGCTCTCTGAAACGTTCGGGGCATCAACCCTTCGATGTGGTGCTATTCACACTATGTCTAAGGCCACAGGTTAGAGGGTGAAGGCTACTGCTCTCCTGACCTCCCGCTGGCCGGGGCTGGATGCTCAGTGGGCCATCTGGGACCGGAGATGCCGCCATCTTGTACTGCACCATCTGGAATGCGCAGTCTCCTCAGACACTGTGGCAGGGAAGAGACAGCTGGAGGTTCACATCCTGGGCTTGGATATAGCACTTCTACTCCTAGCCCTTCGACCAGAACTACTTTTGCAGCCCCCCTTGACTGCAGAGGGCCGGGAAATAGTGGGGCGGGGGTGGCGAACAGATGCAATATTTGCTGAGCACCGCTGGCTCTGTGACAAACCGGATATCCAGAATGGAGCAGGGCACACATCAAGATCCATATGTCCGTAGGCAGGACCATAATAGTGTGCCGTCTTGAACACAGTGCCCTGCCTTCACATCTTCAACAGTGGAAACAAGAGACCTTCATCCTTTCACTTCTCTTCTTTCTCCGTGTTTCTTGGGACCATATTTTTTGAACATGTGTCTGGCATTAAGAACTGACTCAGAACCAAAGACGGCATTATACATAAAATACCTTTTATCTTAGAAACGGAGTTTCTTACTCTCCTTTGCCCTCCAAGATGTCTATGTTACACTCTCTTCTCTCTCCTGAAGTCTCCTTCTTCCTCACTCTTAGCTGATGTTGTGGCCTCATTTCGCGGAGGAATCCGAAGCAGTCCCCAGTCTACGGCCATAGCACCCTGAACGCGCGCGATCTCGTCCGAAGCGGTACCCAGAGGACTGTTCCATTGTCCCTTCCCCTCTTCTACTGGCACCTCATCCCTCTGCCCATCGACCCTGTGAACTTCCTGTCCCAGTAAGAAGTTCTCCTCATTACCCGTGGTCACACTTCCACCAGTGCATTTCAGCTCCTCTGTTCCGCTACTTTGCTCGTGCAGCTGTCCCTGTCACTAGTTTTACCCCCTCTACTGGATCATTTCCATCGGCACATAAATTTTAAAAACAAACAAACAAAAGGCCTTGACCCGATTCCCCATTCAGCTCTTCAAGCAAAATTCCCTCAGAAGAGTGACTGTACTTGCTATATCCACTTCCTCTTCTCCTGTCCTTTCTCGGGCTCAGCGCTAGCCAGGCATTCAGTCCCCACTGTGCCATCAAAACCTCTTGTTAAGGTTGCCATTTGCACACAATCTTGCGAAAACACCAGTTTTACATTCCTGTCTTTTCCGCAGCCTCTGAGACCTTGGATTGCGGTCTGGGTTTTCTTCTTTATTCTCAGTCTCCCTTGCTGGAAACTTTTTTTATTTTCTGACTGCTTTCTTTCTTTCTTTTTTTTTAGTTTAATTTTATTATGTTATATTAGTCACCATACAAGACATCATTAGTTTTTGATGTAATGATCCGCTATTCATTGTTTTTGTATGACACCCAGGGCTCCATGCAGTACGTTCTGACTGCTTTCTTGTTGGAATGTCCTAGAGCTCTTCCCTGGGCATTTTCTCTCTCTGCAGTCACATCTGCTGATAGTCTCCAATCCCAGAGCTTTAAACAGTATTTACACACTGATAATTTTCAAACCTATGTTTTCAGGCCAGGTTGCCCCCTTGAGCTCCTTACTTTTAAGTCCAATTGCATGCTCAACACTCCCACCTAGATGTAGGGTAGACATCGCAGATTTAATGTGTCAAAACCAGACCTCTAGATAGTCCCCCCACCCCCCCCGCCACATACCTATTGACCAATTCTGCTTCTCCCAATCTTATTTTCTCAGTCATTGGCAACACCATTCACCCAGCTGCTCAAGCCAAAAAGCTCATCATTAATTCTTCCCTTTCTTCTTACTTCTCCTCTAATTCATTCACAAGTCTTAGGAGATCCGCCTTCAAAATATATCTACAGCCTGGCCATCTCTCACCTCCTCCCTTGCCACCACCCTGTCACACACCATCCTCATGTCTTCCTGGACTTTCCAATAAGACCACCACAATAGATTTGGCTTTCCTCTGATGGGGATGACAGTATACCTTCTTCATTTTGCATCAGGATTATGTTGGTTCTCTGGCTATGGGTCATATATCACAGATCTATTGATCCTGTCACCTTCCTATGTGCTGCTCAACGTTGATGACATCATGCTGATGAGCAGGAGGTAGCAGATACCTTGGATGCTCAGGCAAGATATGTGTATGCCAAGGAGGTGGAGGCGAACTGCGCAAAAATTGAGAGGCCTGCTATCTCAATAAATTACCTAAGATCCCGTGCCGTAGATTTACTTCCTACCGTAAGAAAGCGGCCATGGATCTTTGTGGATCTTTTTTAGTTTTCAAGGTACATATACAATTTGAGTGTGCTTCTGCACGTAGCTCTAAAGCCGCCAGGGGTGAGTGGGGTGCAGCTGCTGGTCTGGATTGTGTTGTAAGCAGCCGTGCCACTGGCTTCTCATGAGCCAGCAGATTCGATGACGCTCTAAATGTCTGCAGCCTACATGGCAGGGGGGCCTGTCTGGGTCCTTGCTGAGACCTGCAGCACACCTCCCGAGGAAACATACAGCTTGTCCCCCAGGGCCTTAGAGTAAAGACAAGAATTTGTTTGTAGGAAAACTGTTCTGTTTTTGGATTTCTCCTGGGCGAAGGCTACTGTTTGGGCTAGATGGTCAAAGTCTTGAAAAGAACCAGATTTGGAGATTAGTGATGATTCCTAGGGAAGAGGTATTTGGATGGACTTCTCAGCATAAGCCAGAGGATAACAATATTTGTGTCCCATGTGACTGCTCAGCAAAAGGCACTTAATGCAGAGGAGGTTTTCAGTAATTAGATGGGTAAAATGCTCTGCGAATGTCAGTCAGCGTGTTTCCCCAGCCACCCTCCTGTTTGCTGGGCTCATAAACAAAATGGCCCATGGCAAAGATGGGGCCTGTGTGTGGCCTCGACAGTAGCCTCCTCCTATCAAGATAAATCGGGCTACTGCCACAGGAGAGGCTAATACTGCGCCCCCAGTGAAGGCTGTACTCCAGGGGGGTCCAGTCAGTAACTTGGTGGCAGGTGAGTAACACCAGACTCTTCATCATGGAGGAAGCAGCAATTTGTCCTTCCCAGATCCTGGCCCTATTCTAGACATGGATCTGCCTTCCTTGCACACCATGGTTCTTCAGCAACATTGTGTGTAAATTGACTGAATGCCTTCCCTTCCATCATTGTATCCCATTATGAGATTGCTTCGGATTATTTGACTGTAATAAATAATTTATGACATAAATAGACATAAATAAATAAATGTGGTCCTGAACACAAAATTTCTTGCCCTTAGCCTTTGCTCCATGAGTTATTGATCTTTGAGGGGTCCACAGACTTCTTGCTTTTCTTTGCCTCCTTGTAAGAGAAGACTTTGTGGGGTTTCGGGTAGCTGGGGCATGTCTGAGAGGGGCTCGAGCAGAAGGGAGGAGCCAGGCCAGTGTGCTCGGGCACTACGGGTCTAACGGGACTCTGGGCTCCTTCTTGCTTGCCCACAGTGCCTATGTCTTTCCACTTCTGGATTTTCACGAATAACGACCACTGACTAGAACTGATGAAAGGGAAATCAGGGGGCGCCTGGGTGGTGCAGTCAGTTAAGTGACCGAGTCTTGGTTACAGCTCAGGTCCTGATCACAGGGTTGAGAGTTCAAGCCCCACGTGGAGCCCACTTTAAAAAAAAATAGTAATAATAAAATAAAATAAAATAATAAAATAAAATAAAATAAAATGGAGGCAAGCCTAGCAGGAGTTAGCAATGCTCCCATCTGAGAATTTACTGCAGCACTGGATGGAAGGGAGGTCGACCACACTGTCAGCCTCTGTTAGGTGGTTCATTGGAAATGAACAATATAATGCATATATAAATTAACCGTATAACGTTATATATGGGGCACCTGGGCGGCTCAGTCGGTGAAACGTCTGCCTTCGGCTCAGGGCATGATCCCAGGGGACGAGTCCCGCCTCGGGCTCCCTGCGCGGGGGGAAGCCTGCCTCTCCCTCTGCCTGCAGCTTCCCCTGCTTGTGTGCTCTCTCTCTCTCTTTCTCTCTCTCTGACAGATAAATAAATAAAATCTTAAAAAAAAAAAAACACAACAAACCAACCCAATGTTGTATATGTACTATTTATAGCCATCTTGCCTTTTCCACCTTCAGTGAGATCGGGCCTTGGTTTATGCCATGAATCCAGTGTTGCTTTGTCCTCCAGGCGCTCGTGCCCCGGTCCTTCCTCTAGGAAGAGGGCGTCGTGGTGCACATGCGCACATCGCGTCTCCCCCGGTGCCTCACAGGCCACGGGAATTGGGCAGCGATGATGCGAGTGAGTAGATGCCTTGTACTTAACCGTGTCTGACATACGACCCCTGGCTCTTCCCGCCCATAGCTGTGCATGTCTGACGAGCTGTGGGAGAAGGTAGTCCAGTCTGCCTGTGACACCATCACGCCGGACATGCGGGCCCTGGCCAAGGACATAGGCTGGAGGCAGATGTTCTTCACCAACAAGCTGCAGCTTCAGCGGCAACTCCGCAAGAGGAAACAGAGACAAGAGAGCCAGGGAAACAGTAAATTTTAGGGACACATTTTCTTACCGGCAGGGGGGTCGAGGCCTGGGTGTCGTTCCCTTCCGTGTCCAAATCTCTCCCGTTTCCTTCGACCCCGAACTCAAATTTGAACTTGGCGATTCAAGGAGCCATCGGAAAAGCACACCGGGTTTGCACACACCTGCAGCCCCACCCGACTAGGCGGGGCCTCGCTTGAACCACGGTCCCCCTGTTGGAGGGTCCAGTTCGTGGCCCCAGCAAAGGGCTGCTGGATAGGAAGCCCGTGACACCCGTAAGAAAAAGAGGCTTCTGCTGTACAGAAACAAACAATAAATGGTTATTCGCAGGTTTTTACTCCTTATCTGTTTTGCTCTAGGCATTTGAAAGGATTACTTGCCCTTCTGAATTTTGGCCTGATAGAGGGGGCTCCGCGTCCCCACGGGAAACAGCGAGGGGCAGGGGCCACGGGAGGCAGCCTGGTGGGCACGGCCGCCTTCCCAGCGCTCTTCGCCTACGTTTTAACTCAGGGCCCTGTCATGTGGCCCCTGGATGCCAGGCTCTGTCCCTCCATGTGGACAGCCTCCGATCTGGCCCTGGGGCGTGGCTGGAGCGAAGTCCACTGTTGTGCTCACAGAGCCTCTCCAGAGTCCAACTTTCCGGGACTTCACATTGCCAAATAAGCCTATAAAACTTTCCTTAGGGGGATGCTGCCCCAATTTCCCGTCCCCGCAGGAATGCGGAAAGCTACCCCTTCTACCCCAGGGATTTTTAAGATCTCAAGCTGTGGGTAACCGAGTGAAAACCCAAGTGCGGTTTGTAGTCTATTAACTTGGAAGAGGGGTAAAAACAGTACAGTTTGAGGGGAGGAAACTGTCTCTCTGAATGGGTAATTTACAAATTGTTTTCTTCCCAAGCTTTCCTGAGAATAAAGTAGTCCCCCCCCCCCCCCCCCCCCCGCCCATGACACTCAAAGCAGCAAATCATCTGATGACTCCTTTTAGGCTACAGAAAGAAGTAGCTATCAACCTCCCATCCCCTTATGCCATTTCTTCTTTCCCTGCGACCTGCACTTTAGTGCCTGGAAGAAATAATACATGCCCCACCTGCTCCCCGTGCAGAGGAATTTCCTGTGTCATCTTGAGGCCTCCAGCATGGGCTGATCTCCCTGCTCAAGTCCTCCTGAATGGCTTGGAGCCACGACTTCAGGGATCTTTTTTACTAAACCTGTGTTCGTGTCAAACCAGGTTTAACCCCCATCCCTTAAAACTCACCCCCTTAAAACTCAGTCATATATTTCCAGCGACATCTGTGAAATCGAGGGCAGTCGGCTTCCTGGCAGATGAGGATCCTGTCAGAGTTGTTTCTGGACGTAGTCCAAGCAAAGAGCAAAGGTTTAATTGGCGAGAGAGCCGGGCTGCCTTCGCCACCCAGGAGGGCCTCTGCCAGGGTGATACAGGTGACCGCCGGCAGGCCGAGGGGGCATGCACTTCTGCACAGATCCTGCAGCCTTGTTTCTCCCCGAAGTCCGCAACCTCACTCAGGGCCAGAACATTGATTAATACCTTGTGTGCCCAACGACTGTGTGTATGCACGGTTTGGTACACAACATAACTGCATAAATATAAAGTCACAGCTCCTTCGTAACATCGATGCAAATACGTCAACAGCTTAAGCATTTCATATGTCCTGTTTAATCAACTAACTGAGACTCTGAAAGCTTATGGGCAGACAAGACGTTCTAGATTCAACGTGAATCAGTAAGAACACAAATGTGGCTATTTGAAAACTCTTACTATCTACGGAAAATATTATAACATAAAAATAGATAATAACAGTAAATAGCAATGAAAAATGAGTTATTGATACATTGGCTATTGCTGATAGTAGTTAAAATAGCACAGGTTATTATTATTTCAGTGATTATTAGCCCTAATAATTTGGGTGCCTTATTACACAATTATAATTTTTTTTGGTCCAAAAAAAAAAAGCAAACAAATATTACCAACCTAAAATTCTGCAGGGGACTGGTATCCTCAGTGGTTGAAACATTTTGCCCCTCTTCTTCAGCCTTATTTTCCGTGTTAGATCCCACGGGGTAATCCCATCAGATGGGAATAGATAGCTACACCTCTCTGCCTCCACAGACAGCTTTTATGTGGACGAATTACTGTATGTGTGACATACCATTTCAGAGTGAAATGCCACAGCATTTTATAATCTTATCCTTTCCCACCTTTTAAGTCAAAAGTGTTTCTAGTCTGTTCTCATTTACCACTGTAATAGTAAAAGCAAAATGCTGATATTTTCTGATGATTTATATGTTTAGTTTTGTAAGAACAACTACTGAACAACAGCAAATGTGAAAGTTTATAAAATAAAAAAATAAATATATTTTACTTACTATCAAGTTCCGTTACTGCTTTTTTTCCCCCTGAACAAGTTAGCATGGTACGTGCCTTCAACCCCAGTTATAATGGAATCCAAACTATTGTGCACTGGGTAGACTCAAGAACTGAGACTGAGATTATGAATTTATAAAAAGATTTTATTTATTTATTTATTTGAGGGAGAGAGAGAGAGCAGGGGGAGAAGAGGGAGAGAGAGAAGCAGACTCTGTGCCGAGCATGGAGCCCAATGTGGGGCTCGATCCCACGACCCTGAGAACATGATCCGAGCTGTAATCAAGAGTCGGATGCTGAAGGGACTGAGCCACCCAGGCGCCTCAGACAGATTATGATTGGAGTGAAGGATGGGAAGCAGGGGTGGGGACAACTCGCTAGCCACCACTTATCATTGTTTTCCCAGTGGCTTCTGTCCAAGATGGTCACCAGCCCTCATTAATTACCCCAACCTGACTCCCAAGATGCCAACGACTAATATAGAACAACCTTACCAAAAACATAAACATGTGCACGGCATAGTTTTTTGCTCTGAGATTTAGTGGGATGACATTTATCTTCAGTTTTTGTTAAGATAATATACTATGGGACAATATACAAGCTTTTCAACTCTGAATAGTTGGTTTCAAATGACGATGAATGTCTTCACTTGGGTGTTAAAAACGCTAAGTAGACAAGCAACCACCACATGAAAGAAGGTGCCCTGACAGTTAGGAGCATAATGCCATATATCAGGTCATTTTACAAAGGAAAATTGCTATCTTAGATTTATGCATTTATTGTTTTGAAACAAGATCATCCACACACTGGGATAGCAGTGGTTTGTCCTTGTAATGTGGAGTCCTCAGGGCCGGGAGCCACAGAGAACTCCCACGTTTCCTGTTTATTAGTTCCCGGATCTGTGTTCCTTCCACAGAGATCTCCATTCAGAAAAGTAATTTTCAGTTGTGAAATTTGTTCTGCACACCCAGGAAGTCTTACAGCCATAGATCCATGGTCACAGACTGAGTTGGAATAACCATAGAAATAGTAAAAATAATAATAAACCTTAGAAATAGTAAAAATAATAATAATAAGAAGAAGAGCAGCTTCTATTTGTTCAGTGTCTACTGGGTGCCAAAAAACAGATAGTAACCAACTTAATTCTTACAGCAACCCTTGAAGGTAAGTGATTATTTATTATTTCTGTCCCATAGATCAGAAATCTATAAGCTATGGTATAGGCCTAATTTGACCAGCCACTTGTGTCTGTAGAATAAAGTTTTATTGGAGCACAGCCTATGTATTATCTATGGCCACCTTCACATGACAATAGCAGTATTAGGTAGTTACAATACAGACTATATGGCCTGCAAAGCTGAAATTATTCTCAAAGAGGACAAATTTCCCAAGGTTTCATGATTAATAAGTGGTAAAGCTGAGATTTAAATCTATACTGAAAGTCTGTGTCCTTTTTTTAAAGATTTTATTTATTTATTTGACAGAGAGAGACATAGCAGGAGAGGGAACACAAACAGGGGGAGTGGGAGAGGGAGAAGCAGGCTTCCCACTGAGCAGGGAGCCCGATGCGGGGCTCGATCCCAGGACCCTGGGATCATGACCTGAGCCGAAGGCCGATGCTTAACAACTGAGCCACCCAGGGGCCCCCTGAAAGTCTATGTTCTTAACCACAAGTGCCACATATCACTTCTCCTTTCGGAGCCAACACCGCATTTGACCAGTGGAATTTGAAAAGGTGATGGGATTTACCCAAGGTCATTTGAAATTATTAGGCCCTGAGCACAATATAAGAGACCATTCTAATTTAGTTATCCAGAGAATATTCCAAGCTTTTGATGAACTAAATTATTCATTTTTTTATTATTTGTTTATTTTTATTTTAAAAAATATTTTATTTGTTTATCTGAGAGAGAGTGAGAGAGAGAGAGAGAGATCACGAGCAGGGGGAAGGCGTAGAGGGAGAAGCAGACTCCCCGCTGAGCAGGGAGCCTGACACGGGACTCAATCCCAGGACTCTGGGATCATGATCTCAGCCAAAGGCAGACGCCTAACTGACTGAGCCACCCCGGCGCCCTTTATTTTATATTTTTTATTTTTAATATTTTAATTCCTGTGCAGTTAACATACAGTATTGTATTAGTTTCGGGTGTACAGTATAGTGATTCAGCAATTCTATATATTACTCAGTGCTCATCAAGGTAAGTGTCTTCTTAATCCCCTTCACCTATTTCTCCCATCCCCCCTCCACCTCCCATCTGGTAACCATCTGATTGTTCTGCATAGTTAAGAGTCTGTTTTTTGGTTTGTCTCTCTTTTTTTCCCCTTTGATTGCTATTTTGTTTGCTATTTTGTTTCTTAAATTCCACATATGAGTGAAATCATATGGTATTTGTCTCTCTCTGATTGGCTTATTTTGCTCAGCATTGTACTCTCTAGATCTGTCCATGTTGTTGCAAATGGCAGGATTTCATTCTTTCTTATGGCTGAATAATATTCCATTGTATCTTTACAAAGATACATCTTTATCTATTCATCTTCTTTATCTATTCATCTATTGAGGGACACTTGGGCTGCTTCCATAATCTGACTATTGTAAATAATGTTACAATAAACATAGGGGTGCATGTATCCCTTCAAATTAGTGTTTTTGTATTATTTGGATAAGTACCCAGTAGTGCGATTACTGGATCTTAGGGTAGTTCTATTTTTAAATTTTGAGGAACTGCCATACTGTTTTCCACTGTGGCTGCACCAGTTTGCATTCCCACCAACAGTGCACGAGGTTCCTTTTTCTCCACATCCTTATCAACACTTGTTGTTCCTTGTGTTGTTGATTTTAGCCATTCTGACGGGTGTGAGGTGATATCTCATTGTGGTTTTGATTTGCATTTCCCTGGTGATGAGTGATGCTGAGCATCTGTTCATGTGTCCGTTAGCCA